GCGTCGCCGACTCGGCCTTGCGCGCCGGGTTTCACTCGGTCGAACCACAACGTCGTAATCGAGAACGAGCGAGCCGACGTCAAGGCAGCGACGAGGAACGCGGTCGACCGGCAGCGGTGCGGCTCTCACCTCTTCTTCCATCGGCTAGGACGCCCGGAACGCGTTCCAGGCATCTGGAACTGCCAAGAACCAACGTTTCGACCCGAGAGGCGTTCGCGGCCCGCGAAATCGACGGCCCCCAGACGCCCACCACGACGCGCGAACACGCGCGTTCGCGCGAGTTGGACGCGCCAGGGGCTCCTAGGGCCCTCCCAGCTTAATCGTGACGCTCAGTCCGCCAGGAACCGGCGTCCGGGGACCGCTCCTGCTACTTGAGCCGTGGTGGCTGGGCTGATCTAGGAGTCACTCACCAGGGAAATACGACGCGCTCTAGTTTGGGGCCCGCCCGGGCCCCCGGCGCCTAGTAAAGCACCCGGCCGCCGACCCCCAATTTTCGGGGACGTCGTGGGTTCCCTGGACACGAGAACCCAACGAAGCCGCTTCGTCGCGTTCATGGCCAGTAAGAAATATATAGATCCGAAGCTTACCCTAGTTCCTTACCAAACTGAGGCTTTGCGTTGTGCTCGGGACGATATGTTTCTGGTTTTTGGGTGACGATGATCCATGCCGCTTCGGCGCTTCGGCTACTTCAACTTGCACTTCAACGTACTAGAGCGTTTTCGCTCCTGTATTCTTCAACCGTGGTTAGAACCGAACTTAGCTTAGCCTGAACGAGAGTGAGCTTGGTTTTATCATTTGCAAGGGACTCAAGGAGACTTCCAATGTCTGAATTATGGTGCTCAGTAAGAGTTAGCAGATTAGACTTAACTTTACTAAAGGGTACTGAAGCATCTGTTGGATGCTCAGGTTGAACCGCCATAACACCCCCCTGCTCACCAAGCACGGGGCGGGAGCGAAGACGAAGGGCGCGTACAGATAAGCGCGGGCAGCGACTTTCACGGAGATGGATGCGCTAGGGCAACCATAACCTAGAGAGAAATACCCCAAACTAGGGTACTAAGGAACGTTCAACAAGTTGATATCGACGTTACGGGGAAGTGCAGTGCCATCTCCATAGTGTGACGTCGCGATAGTGAGGGAACAGGATAATGTAAATTACAGGGATGATGGGGAATTACGAAGCTACTCAATTCAGATAGATCCCTTTTTCAAGTTCACTATACTGACTACGAGGAATTCCCTTTTCAGGTTCAGCCCCGCAACTCTCCTTACGCATAAACCGTGGAGAATTAAAGTACAAGGGAGGAGAGGAGGAGCCTAACTAGGGATACTCTCAGGATCGGGATCCTCTAACTAAGGAAAACTCTCTAGTCGATCCCTGATATTCTCTTCAGTCCCTCCTTTTCAAGTGCCTCCACTCAGGTCGACTCTCGAGACACTCGGAGAGCGTGCCTCTTTCTAATCGCAGGACTGGGGCAGCTGAATACTTTTCCGACAAATCACGGACAACTGGGATTACGATGCTACTGATGAAGTCTGGAATAGAAACGATTTCGGGGACTAAACTTCCATCTAAACAAATTTTTTTGAGCAGGCCAGCAATAACATTGAGGATCTTATTTGCATCTTCCACTTTGGCAACAGCATGCAAGATCGCAGCCTCGACAATTTGAGGTGGTGCGGTGGTGGCGCTAACTGGCAATGGGAGCCGTTCTGTAGCGACCGTGGTTCGGATCACGTAAGTCAAGTCAAGGGATGCTCTTAGTTTTTTGGAAGGGACGGCGGAAAGACAGCTGATGAGGAGGGCCTTCCTGGGCATATGCTTAGCCGCAATTCTCGCAAAATGTTCCAGATTGCTCGGTCGGATTGCCAATATGACAACTACTGCCTTCGAAAGCCGTTCTCTGGAAACTTCTTCAAACGGAGTACATCGCAAACCGCGAGTCATTAACGTCTCTAGGTGGTAGTGGACTTCCTTATTTACAGCGATCTCAATGTGGCATGGCGGCCAACCAAAGTCTAAGAGTTGGCGCGCCACCGTACTTCCCACCTGTCCTCCACCAATAATTATGCAAAAAGGAGGTTGGCATTCCTTGCTCACTGGTCGACTTTCATTGGACTCAGCATCGGACGATGCTCTCGTATCTAGCGTCACTGCGCGTAGTACGTATGTTGCCCAGAAGACCGCTTGCGAGGAGGTAGCCACTAGAGAATCGCTCGCTTTGGACCTAAGATTTTCTCATTTTGTGATGCCTCTGATTTGCACGCCGCCAAAAGCAATAATCTCTG